ACATGTATGCCACCTGGTGGATAGAAGAGCCAACAGACATGTATGCCACCTGGTGGATAGAAGAGCCAACAGACATGTATGCCACCTGGTGGATAGATGCCACCTGGTGGATAGAAGAGCCAACAGACATGTATGCCACCTGGTGGTTAGAAGAGCCAACAAACATGTATGCCACCTGGTGGATAGAAGAGCCAACAGACATGTATGCCACCGGGTGGTTAGAAGAGCCAACAGACATGTATGCCACCTGGTGGATAGAAGAGCCAACAGACATGTATGCCACCTGGTGGTTAGAAGAGCCAACAAACATGTATGCCACCTGGTGGTTAGAAGAGCCAACAGACATGTATGCCACCTGGTGGATAGAAGAGCCAACAGACATGTATGCCACCTGGTGGATAGAAGAGCCAACAAACATGTATGCCACCTGGTGGTTAGAAGAGCCAACAAACATGTATGCCACCTGGTGGTTAGAAGAGCCCTGAACAAGTTTTATGTAATGAAATAAAAAAAATAATCCAAACTGCTGAAACAATTCCACAATGTTAGAAAAGCAAATGAAAACCAATATGCATAGATCTGTTAAGGCTGCTTTGTCTAGCTGCTTAACCTGGAAGCTGTTGATTTTAGATCTTCATTTCCCTTTAAAATAAAATGACCAAAGATATACAGTCCCTCATTCACTATGTAAAGCAAACCTCATTCTGCAGGTTCCAGACTCCGTCTTTATGAGTGAATTCCTCATAGCTTGTACGGCACTTGGGCAGAATTCTGCACTCAAAACCACACATGTTGAAGAGCAGGTTGGGGTTGTCTTTACTGTACACAGACACAAAGCTGTTCTCCCACTGTACAGTTGTGACAGAACGTGGAAGACGGTTTTTAATGTCCCAAAACACAGCACGGCCACTAGGAAGAAAAAAAATATTAACAAATAGTCTGGAAGTAGCAAACTCATCTACACTTTAAAACTGTGTTTAATATAATATTTAGCATAACGAACACCGGATTAGAATACTTAATTTTTATTACATACACATCGGAAATTATAAGGCTCATGCAGACAAGTTTTCCTGCATTTGAAGTGCACTATAAAAGTACGAAGATTCCTATTCACTTATGATGTGTGGAGAGGCAGTTTATCCTACTTTTATTATTTCCTGAAACAGGTCCATTATCAAAGCAGGGAAAGTAAATCAAGCACAACCTTTTGCACTGCAACTCATGTTATGAGTAGTAATGTGTTTAATTACAAAATGCTGCATGTCTACTACTTGAGCCCTAGAAATGGTACACAGCTGGTCAAAATAGGGACATTTTCTTCCCACGTGGTAAAACTTACATCACTACAATGGCTTTTATCTGGAAAGAAAGATATACTTACAGATTAACATCATGCTTCATAAGTCTCATTCTGGCGTCTCGTGGCCAACACTTTTTATTGTTGTACCCTACAATGTTCTCATTATTGGGATCTGGATGCTCTGTAAGATACCTCTGAATAAGATCTCGAGCATCATCTGCTGAAAATCTACAAGAAACAAAAATTAACATCTCAACAGTGTGATCATAGACATAGAATGTTTAGAAAATGTGCTGGTTAAACTGCTCAGATGTAACATACCTGAAAAAAATGTGGATGCGATCAATGTATCTGCAATACAGGCGGATGGGGTGAGCGGCTTCTGTGGCCACATCCTGGAAACTCAAGAAATCATTTGGCATTTGAGGTGGGCCAGCCATCTCACTGGCTCTGTGCAAACCAAGAACTAACAGGTCCATCACCAAACCGTAGTACTGAACAATGAAAGAAGCAAACTGGAGTCCACGAATAATGCCATAGGAGTTGGTGTGATTCATGTCCTACAAGAGAGAGGTAAACATTGGAAACTGAGTGTGTGCTATATTGGTTGCCTTTAACAATATTTTTTTCATAAGTTAGTGACACTAAAAAAGGTACCTACAGATATTTCCAAATATGTGTCTATGGGTCAGATTATATTTATATATTTTTTTATTACACACAGTACATACAATGTGCACTAGCTCAGCTATAGAATACATATATTTTAGCCTTCACATACTTTGTAATTGATGACAACGTTGTTTTTAGCTGTCATGTAATCGGCAATGTTGTGATCGACAATTAGACGCAGAAGACGATTCAGCAGAGTCAAGTCGATCTTCTCATACATTTTCTCAAACCGAGACTCAAGCATTACATTGCATTCTCCTTCCGTGGTGTCCCACACATCCTGTAGGTTGTTGATACCTGCAACAGGCAAAAAAAAAAAAAGTGTCAGTTTTCCAAGCAATGGATATTTTAATTATGCATGCACTGATAGCCCAAGCAAACACTAGGTTTCATTTGTGCCTCTCAGGGACTCCTACAGCTGAGATTTCCAACTCTCCCCACCAGGTAGCATTTTACAGAGAACTAGGAGAATCCTGGGCTGCATAATCTAACAGTTGCAGTAGGGAAAGTGGAGGCAAATGTCTGTTTCTGCCATGTCATGGTACTCCAGCTCTTCATCCCCTCTCCTACTTTGTCCAAAGACAATTTTGTGGAGACAGTACACAAATTGGAAGAAACTCATGAAGAGTCAGTAAAATATTACCTACAAATGCTACAAATACATATTTTCAGCCAAGTAACAAACAAAGCTTAAGACTGTAGATTACCACCTAGAGATCTCACCAAGATTGGGGTTACAAAGACCAGCCCTGTCACACACTCCCTCTCTCACTAACATATACAGTACATGTTGTGCAGCTATGCACTCTAAATATCACACACTATGCACTACACAGTCCTATAAGAAAAATGCATGCTTAACCTATAGTAATAACGACGTTATACTATTAATAACCCATTTTTTAGACCAACTGAAGGTCATCAGTAAATCAAAATTAATTTTTTTTTAATTGTTGTTAAATGATTTCGTTTTCCATAAATAATTTAAATTGGTGGATCATGCTATTGTCCAGTTAATTGGTTTAGGAGAAGGTACACATTTAGAATTTTCATGATCAGGTTAATAAAACACAGTTACAATTTGTATAGGATTTGTAACCTGACATATTAAGCAGTTTAGCACGCTTTAGAAACAAAGAAAGCTTCTGCTATTTCACTCTGCAAAGGCACCTCGTGAACATCCAGTGAACCAGAACCCAATAGGTTCTTCAAATAAAAATGTTGAAAACTTTCAGAAGCTGCCTGCAGTGGTTCTATTGCAGAAACAAGTCTATAGCCTACCTTGGCACCACTTGTACACAAGCAAAGGAGGTGGCTCTGTGTCGGCAGGTTTGATCCAAGGAGGGAAGAGACGCCTCTTGTCTGCTTCATACCACAGATATTGATCCAGGTAAGCATCAGTGATCTTCTCAAGAGGCTCAACATCATAGACAGGGACCAGGTGACTATAAAGATCCATAAACTCAATACCCACCTTGAAAAAAACAACAAAAATCAGTGACATGTCAAACTTGCAATTCTCAAGTCTTCACAAAATCAAACATCTAAAACTACAAAGATATTAAACTGCTCATTACCTCCTTGAAAGCTCTTTGAGTGAGCAAGTGACGCTTGATTCTGGACAATGCTTCGTGAGGATTGTCATACGCTTGTTCAATCAAACCCAACTCTTCTCTCTGAGACTGATTTAAACGGGACTTCACACTAAGAGAAGAATCATGTTTCAATAGACATGCATAAAAGGTAAAAAACAATAGCACAAAGACATATGACTGTTCAGTTTAAACATGAACAAAGGTATTTTATCTGTTAGGCCAGCATAGGCAAGCATTTGCGCGATATCACACGTTTGTCGCGCAAATGCTTGCATTGAGCAAGCTAGAATCGCTGCAAAATCCGCTCCAAAAAGGGTCCTGCTGTAGCGACGCACGACAGCGACGTACAGAACCCCATTGCCATGCATTGGAGAGCGCTATCGCGCGGTAAATAGCCGCGATGTCGCGAATGGGGCCTACCAGTAATGTTTGGAGCTCCCAATAAACAAACCTTTTAGAATTGAGCTTATAAACACTTCAAATGAGCAATAAGAGTAATTATGCTTCAACTAGTCAGTGCTTAAACTTTACTACACGATT